ATATGAAGTAAAATATTTTTTTAGGTTTTATATATACATTTGAATAATTAAAAAATCATAAATTACTACATCAATACCAAGGAATTCCACTATAATTTATCAAGCTTAGTAGCTCAGCTTTATTTGGGTCTAAAAAAAAATGAAATTTCGAGCAAACTAAAGACACAACCTACCTCATTGAAATCTTTGTTCATAAGAACGGAATGTTAAAAAGGATGAGAAAACCACTAGGGGGACATTCTGAGCTTCCAATTAGTTTTTCATGGCATATATAGAAGTAAGTGTAGTTAAGGGAGCATTTCCAAAAATGGAAAGAGGTGGGCAGGATGCCAATGTGTTTGATTTATTATGTGAGCAGTTTTTTAAAAATGGAAAAGACCTTCTTATTTTATATTCTAGCTTGTCAATATTTGTAATTTGAGTTTCTAATTCATATAAAACAATAGACTTAGTATTTTGATTTCACAAACATCTAATTTGAACATACCACACGACACACAAAAATCGATTTTTATCTGCATTTTTTTTATGTTTACTTTTAAATTAACAAATTGAGTAATGTATAGTTCTAAAACTTGAATTATAATCTACAGTTTGATACCAAACTTACTGACATAAATTCATGAAATAGTAGTTCAATAAAATTTTGAATGCAATAAACAGTAGATTAATTTGAAAACTTCAAAAGAACAGAATACCTAAATATGATAAAACATTTTAATTGCAGTTTTAAGTACGCAAGATGAAGTTCCAAATCTTGTAGGGATTACTAGTTACTTCAACAATGAAGAATTGTAAACTTTTCTGATATATTTTCCACATACAATCTGTACTTGTAGCTAGGCTTTTCTCGAAAGTTTTCTTTCATGTTGGAATAGACCTTTTAAGAAATGATTTGGATGTTGTATTATGATATGTAAAAAAAAATCATTGGTTTAATGAGCTGATAAAAATTAATGAAAACTATACAGGATACAGAATAAATGAACAAATTTATCAGAGAAAGTTTTCCATCAATATAGGTAATTTTATGAGAGCAAAATGTTTAGTGAGAATACGTGTAAAGAGACAGAAATGTTAAACAGATTAGAAAAACGAAGAAAAATCACACTCACCACAATCTTCTTCATCGCTTCCATCAGCACAGTTTATAACAGAGTCACAACGTTGACTTAATGGCACACAAGCACGGAAAGGAGTACTAACATTAGCACAGTGGAACTCCGCTAAGAGATAAAGTACTGTATGTTTATTACCATTTCAAGAGACACGTATGAACATTTATATATATAAGCATGCTTGTTAAAACCCTGAAAACATGTTTATTACCATTTCAAGAGACACGTATGAACATTGATACATATAAGCATGCTTGTTAAAACCCTGAAAACATGTTTATTACCATTTCAAGAGACACGTATGAATATTGATACATATAAACATGCTTGTTAAAACCCTGAAAACATGTTTATTACCATCTTAGTACACACGCGTACAAGTATTCTTAGAAATAAGTCGTTTGCCAGTTAAACATAAACATTGGACTTCATATTTTCTTGAAACAGATTTAAGTTTAACATCATTCTCAACAAATATCTTTTTTTTGTACACCTTTTTATCTTATGAATGTAGAATTTTCATATTTGTGTTAACTGTAAAATGTAATATATAAACAGATTATGCTTACCAGGTTTACAGAGTTCCAGGGATGAGGAGCTTTTGATTAAAGTGTAATTGTGAAGCCTCTCATTTTCCACCCCAGAAAGTTTCTCCGCTAAGTTTTCTACATCTGTTGGTTTTGGTGAAGTACTGGATGAAACTACGATATCCTTTATTTCCACACTTTCTATACCGAGTTTGGTCTTGCTCGAGTCCTCTAGTTGTGGTTGATCTTGTGTTTGTTCAGTAACTTTGTTGGTAAGTTTGGTTCCAATTTCTTCTGTTTTTAATACAATTTTTTCTGTGGATGAGCTAACAATTACATCTGGTTTTTCAATGACAGTTGAATTTTTTAGTTTTTGAAATTCATTTATTTCTAATTCACTTGCATTTACTTTTTCTTCGTTGTCATTATGAAACATGGATATGTTTCCTTTTTCATTTTGTTGCTTCATTCTGTTTGCATCATCCGCGCTGCTACCAGCTTCTTCTGTGGATAACGGAATGCCCAACTCATCATCATTGTGGCTTGTAATCAATGATTCCTTCTCTTGGTCAATATATTCTGGATTTTCCATGTTATTTATGACTTGAGGGTTTAAATGTTTCTGCAGCAATGTTGCCTTACTTTGGATTGTGTCTGAAGTGTTTTTGGTGACTAAAGAGGAGGTGCCAATTTTAATGGTTTCAAGCTCTTTATTAACAGGATCAAACTGTTGTACTTCTTTTGCACCAAGAGAATCCACAGTTGCATCATCTAAATATGATATACTGTCAATATTAGTTATTTTATTGGTTACAAATTTTTTCTGCAGGTTTTCAGTAGTTGATAAGGTGTTATCACCTGTGTTATTATCTGTTGTTACTAGCAAACTTTCCATGATAAGCTTGTGTCCGGTGTGACCAGCACCGGTGGTTATTTGAAATTCTTGAGGAGATTCAGAATTAAGGTGAGTCTGATTACTCCACCATTGGACAGACTCGGTAACAGAACTGCTATTACCAGACAGTAACTCAGATTCTGATTTCACCGGAACAGATGTGGTGTTCAAAATCATCTCTGTCTTTGGATACGTTCCCAATCTTATCCAATTTGAAACACTACTATCAGGTATGCTTAATGGAATAGACATTTCTTTGGAGTATTTATGCATTGGTTTATTACTATATGGAAGATGTTCATTTTTATGTATACTTGTTTTATTTGCAGCCAAAAGTTGGAAATATTCTGACTTGTTTATATGATTGAGCATCTTATCAGAAGTTGGAACAGTGTCTTCAACAGCTATGCTTGTTAAAGCAGCATCAAGTTGACCTGCTATTGCTGAAAACCCAAGTTTTTCATTATCTGAAGTCAAGTTATCATTGGATGATGTCATCGTTGTGATAAGACCAGTATCTGTGAAAATCTCTGATTCTCTACTCGTACCAGTAACATTCTCAGTACCACTTCCAACAACATCACCACTAACAGTAGCCCGAGTTGTATCAGCCACACCTGTGATACTTCCATCAATATTATCTACCTCTGTTTGTTGTTCTACCTGTCTACCTTCAGGGATCCATGTACCATCCCTAAGAATTTCTCCATCATCATCAGTGATTTCTTTCCATGATTTTAAAAGTGTGTCACTTCCATTGTTGTCTTCTGTTCTGTCTTCCAAAACAATTGTGGTTAATAATGATTGGTTTCTTAATTCTTCAGTAACATTTTCCAAGTCAATTGTGGTTAGCATTGTGTGATTGTCTATTTGCTCCTCAGGAGCTAGTGTACTTGTTACCCTTGGAATTTCTTTAGGTGTTGGCAGTATTAAAGGTCGGCCAATTACAGGTGAATTAGAAGAGCTGGGTAACGCTGTGGATGACTGCGTGTTTGGTTTGATGGCATCAGTATCAATAAAATCACTTGAGTTTGTATCATTTTCGTCAGTTGAATTAAATAATGGTATAAGCACATAGTTCTGTAATTCTTGTTTCTTTGTATCATTAATTTCTTCTTCATTAAAAGAAGAAAAGGCATATCCTTGTTCAACGTCTCCTCTATTTTCCGAAGCAACATCGTCACTATCTATTTTACTTTCAGTTCTATTTGTTTCCTGTGAAAAAACTGTGTTATTGAGATACAACTGATCTTTTTGATCTAAGAGCATCATTATTGTGTGGTTTCCATCTATCATTTTTTCAGATGGCAGAAGACTGGTTTCATTCTCTTCATCCTCTGGAATAGTTGGTGTCATTGTTGTTGTTGTTTCAATGATGACTTGTGTTGTTTTAGGAGCCTCTGTCGTTGTCATAAAAGAATACATCTTGGAATCATAAGGAACCCAGTAGTTCTTAGAGCCAATAATTTTCTCAATGTATTCACGCATAGAAAAAATGTTAGCAAAGATTGCTGGCTGTTGTTGGTAGATGTTACACCATCGCTGGTATGTCAGTACACCTCCAAGATGCCAGGTGCCTTTGGTTGACAAACACATCAGTGGTGCTCCCTCATCATTCTACAAAATAATAAAAACATACCATTAATGTGTATAGCACTTCAAGACGCTTTTCTTCCATCTTAGAAGAATAATATACCCTAATTTTCCGATAATAATACAAATTTTAGTGAAAATAGATACATCTAGAAGTTAATGTGCATATAAGGTAACAAATCTAAACAACTTTTTTTTTACAGCCAGTCCAGACCATTTTTTCCAATGCATTCCAAACAATAATGCGTACTTACTATAAATATTGCATTTCGATGGTATGTCTTATTAATTATCTCGGTTTCTAAGACATAAATGAGAATTATCTCCCTTTTTCATTCATTTTCAGTATCTTTAAACATGATTTTTGAAATAAACTGATCAAGAAGCTAAGTATTGTGATTTTTAAGATATATTTACATGCACACTTAGAAACGTTTGGAAATACAAAACTAGTTATTGCTACATTATGTTTGATATTATTCAAAACTACAAATTGAGTTTGCTGAAACCTTCAAATTCTTAGTCCAAGTCACTGTCCTCAAATAGTTGGCATGTATTGCACAATTGAAGCATGTCAACACATGGATAATTCATGCCTTTGCATGAAGAGGTAGCACCATGTATTAAAGTTGCCACTAGGATCCAAACCTTTTGTAATTTAAAGGGTTTTCAAAAGAACTTCCATGATGCTGTCTACACCTCCACTTGATGGACATTGGTGAATACATTCCAGAAATTGTTGCTCAAGCTGTTGGTGGTGAGCCTTGGGACTTCAGCTTGTCCTCTGACTTTTGCCAAACTTAAATGTTTGCCTCCTTGACATAAAATTCCCATGCCACTGCCCTGTTATCATACTTTTCAGTTTAAGTTTGAAGGCTATCATGTAGCTTGTTCATTTCACTGCCATCGTAATGGTTGAAACATGTAACTCAAGACACCAGTACCAAGAATCCTGCCTTACGTAACAGATGAACATGTAACTCAAGACACCAGTACCAAGAATACTGCCTTATCGTAATGACTGAAGTATGTAACTCAAGACACCAGTACCAAGAATCCTGCCGTATCGTAATGGTTGAAACATGTAACTCAAGACACCAGTACCAAGAATCCTGCCTTATCGTAATGACTGAAGTATGTAACTCAAGACACCAGTACCAAGAATCCTGCCTTGTCGTAATGGTTGAAACATGTAACTCAAGACACCAGTACCAAGAATCTTGCCTTATCGTAAAGACTGAAGTATGTAACTCAAGACACCAGTACCAAGAATCTTGCCTTACCGTAATGGTTGAAACATGTGACTCAAGACACCAGTACCAAGAATCCTGCCTTATCGTAATGGTTGAAACATGTAACTCAAGACACCAGTACCAAGAATCCTGCCTTACATACCACTATTAATCATTATAATACAGATATTACTCAGGTAAAGCACAATTTTTATATGCTTCAATCTTATTTATTTGTGGAGACATAAACTAGAAAATAAGACCCACTTTCCATACCCATCTGCCACATCCTCTCGTTCAAAAATTGCCAATAGTTCTTTCTGACATTTATAACCAACAGAAATCCAAAGTTTTAATCTATCAAATGGTGTATTATTTTATGCTGTTTTCTGTACAGAACATTGTCTATTTCATCGTTCAGTTTGAAATTCTTTCCAATGGGAATCACATAGATGAGCTTAGATGAATTTTAAAAACGCTCTTATTGCAGAGTTAGAAAGCCAGAAAAATTATAACAGTTATAGGACCCCGCACAGAGTTATGGTAGAGAAAATAACATTATAAGATAAAGTTTTTCTGAAAAAAAACGTTTAATGTTTATGTAGACAACAAATGAAGTTTAAAAATTTTCATATGAAGAAAAATATTTTTAATCTTAACATGAAAATCACTTTGCACTCAGAGCACGTTGCACTTAGTAATGCACTCACTTTGCACTTAGTATAGTCAACACTTTTACTCCATATATTCAGGGACAAAATTTTAGTTAAAATACTTAATTAAAAATTAATTATTTTGTCTACAAAAGACTTGTAATGTTTACTAAAATTGTATGAAAATACACAAAACATATCAAGTTTTTATAGCATGGAACTCTTAAGGTCAATTTGGGGTCACATGATTAGTCTAATCTACCAAGCCCATAGCAATAGAGTGAAGAGGATTTCTGCCACGAATCGTTAGGTGTATTTTTAAACCAATCTTATAAAATCAAAATGACCCCATCCTCTTTAAGCACTGATCTAAGTGTCAGCATTGGACTGTAAACAGCCAATGCGACTTTATTGTGATAGGCTTTAATTTCATGGTGTATTTTTAAATCAGTTCTATAAAATCAAAACCACCATTTTTATGCACACACACCGGGAGGAAATGTTTCAGAACAAACTACACGTATCATATTGTAGCAAGGCTGTTGCAGATGGCCATGACTAATGAACATCGGCTGTAAATGGGCTCTTAAGAATGTTTATTTGCTGGCCACGATTTGTAACATAGCAAGCACTAAGGCAAACTCACTTTTAGTGATTTTATAAATACTCTAAAACTTTGACAACGTTTATTTTATACATACTCTAAAACTTTGACAACGTTTATTTTATAGATACTCTAACACTTCGACACCTTTATTTTACAGAAATATTTTGACAACGTTTATTTTACAGATACTCTAACACTTTCACAAAGTTTATTTGCTGGCTGCAATGCAAAGATAGCAAGCACTATGGTGAACATACAATTACAGATTATACAGACACTCTAAAATTCTTGTCATCAAAGGATTACTTTGACTGCAGTACTGCAAAAACTTAGGTGCATATTATTTATGGTGATAAGGTAAACTTGACTCTTTGATCATAAAGATTAGTGTGTGTATTTTATTTAGGAGCATATATGTGTGTGTGTGTGTGTGTGTACACTGTCTTTCAAAAAGAGCTGGGATATCACACCCTGAGAATATAAGTTTAAAGTTCTGCAGTCCCACTTTGTCAAAAAGTAGACCAATCTTTCGTGTTAATCACAACCTATGCTTTCCATTAGTATTTATCACCAATCGTTGGTAAACACTTGCTAAAACAGGCATTCATTCCTTTTGCAAAACAGTTTCAAAACCTTTGAGCTTACAAGGTCTAATCTATCAGTTTCTCAAGCTAAACCCAAGACATTCCATAACTGTTTAATTGAATTATAGTCAGTATATAATGTACGGTGTGATACCATGATGAAACTTGCATGGTCCTTCCCCTACAAATTACAACAATGAAGTCAATGCAGCATTGTCCAAAATATTTCAGAGACACAACACATTTATCGTTTCCTTAACTACTACCAGTGAATCAAACCCAGGCCACAGAAAAACTACACACAATCAAACCCAGGCCACAGAAAAACTACACACTATCAAACCCAGGCCACAGAAAAACTACACACTATCAAACCCAGGCCACAGAAAAACTACACACTATCAAACCCAGGCCACAGAAAAACTACACACTATCAAACCCAGGCCACAGAAAAACTACACACTATCAAACCCAGGCCACAGAAAACAATGAGTAGAATGATTCATTACTCCACACACTATTGTTCTATTGTTTTTTGCTTCTGTTATGATGCTCAAGCCAGTCTGATGAACAGCTTGACTTGCAGCCTGTCCATGAAGGTCCACAGTGGTCCAACAATCCCGAGATCTTATCAAAGTTTTGGTTGATGGATTTTATACCATATTTGCAACATTTCGAAATTTGAAACATTTAATTTTAGGCTGACATTCCACATTAGAATTTCTTCAGCCAGTTACCAATGGTAGGTTTTCATAATAGGAAGTAGACTAGCATGTCTCAGACACTAATAACTCCTCTTCTGTAAAGGTTCGTTAGCCTCTTTTTTTCTCATGCCATTTTAACTCAAGATGACTATCAGTAGCTGCTCTTCACCAATAGATAGCAGTACATAATAGAATCCATTCAGGGGTGTGGGCCTCTTAATAAGTGGAAGTGTACTGCTCAAATACATTAGTGTGTGTGATGTGTGTACTCACTTGGATAATGTATACAGATTTGTTAATAATGTTGCATTTCTACTTATCATATACATATTACGATATTCCAACTTAATTAGTTCAACATTTCAAATATGTTTATCTTTTTCTCTAACTGTTCATTTACAAACATCTATTCATTCAATTAAAAAAAGTCTAGTGAAAAGTCTTAGCACGGAGCTAATAAAATTACATGCTGGAACAGTAAATCTTTGGCATTAATGTAAAACATATAATAGCTGAAACATTATTCAGGTAAAACAGTTCGACAACTATCACTTTCCATTCATAAGGTTAACATTTATAACTAGACATCTAGTGGTACATCCTAACACTACACACAATAAAAGTTTAAATAGAGAACAATATGGGCAGCAGCCTGAACTAAAGTTAATAAGGTACAACCTGAATATTTTTGTATCCTTCATGAAATCAGTTACCAATATTAGATTCAGCATATATGGTTTCTATAATTTTCCAATTAAAACAACAGTAGGTTGTATAAATAAAACTATTGAAGGCAGAAGCTAACGCTTTCACTTTTCTGATACTTTTTTTGTGATTAAATTCTAGATTTCGGAACTAATTTCATGAATATACTTTGTTAAATTTCACTGTACCTGTTCTTAAAGTTTTACAACACACCATTAGATGACTAGTTATAAACTTTAATCACATAGATCACTAATAGCAGGTCTTTACAAACAAAAACCAGTAAATGTTAAAACATCTTACAGTTTTTTATGTTATGTTTTTAGCTGGTGTATGTTTTAAAATAAGAACAACTGATATGTAGATTTCCTTGCTGCATTACAGTAATCATTATTGAGTACGTACATCACATAAACCTCTGCGAGACTCACTGGTCCTAGTACACTACAGTAATCATTATTGAGTACGTACATCACATAAACCTCTGCGAGACTCACTGGTCCTAGTACACAGCATTCTAGAGTTCACAGATCCTCCGTAGTGTTGATCTTTGTTACACTCGTCCCTGTCCAGAACTACAAGGGCAAGGTAACTGATGGTGGTAAGTTCAGGCCGAGGCACTATAGAAGAATAAGGGAAGACCTTTGACAACATCTTAATAACAAAATATTTATTTTTATTTGAAAAACTGAGTCTTACAGCTACTTATATGAAAAATAAACACAATATTCGGTTAACGTACATTAGGTTTTATAATGCTCTTATAGAACGTTTAACTATCATTCTGGTACAAAAGTTGAAATGTTACAAATTGTAATACATGATTCTAATATCAGGTAATATTGTACTAAAAGGAATGAAAAAAAACAACACATGTTAGAAGTATTCTGAGAATAAATTACTACATCCAAGTCATCAACATTTTATATCACGGCACGAATGAGAAAAGCTAATTAAAAGTGTCTTTTACCAACTTTTAACTTCGCGTGAATTTAAAAAATACCTTACATATATACTTAAAACAAGTTTTACAGGTGAGTTTTTAATTTCTTGGGGAGATAATACTTTTCACACAACATACAGCCATACACGTCACTTGAAAGAATAATTTTTAAAAAATTCCATTACGAGACATTTCTAAACAATAAGGTATTGTTCTCAACCAGTTTTATAAAACATTTTATGCATCTGAAGCCAAGAATATAAAATAAGTAAATAACAGATCTTGTGTTTTCCTCTGATACAACAAAGTACTGTTAAAAACACATCATTGCTTTATTGATATTACCATTACAAAGTTTTACGCAACATATAACAAACTAAGAAACGATGCTCATGTTCTTAATATCCTCTAATTATGTATCAAAGCAATGTCCTTCACATAAAATTGGCCAATTAGAACTGCAGAATTAAAAAAATTAGTTTTTAAAATGATAAGCTTTGTTAGCCCTTGAAATTAAAAAGTGTGATGAAACATCATATATTACAAAACAATTATTAATAATTTCTATACTACATTCTCAACTACCTAAATGAAATGATGATGTCACACTAGAAATGATGATGTATAAACATGTTGTTTTTGCAAGCCAGTGCTAAAAAACAAGCCTTTTGGTCACAATTTCAATTTTATGGAAGATTAAGCAACTTGTGTCATAAAAACTTCAAAGATTACACAACCCAAACAAGTCAGCCAAGTAGGGTCATAATAATCTTATCTCGATCAAACAACAGTTAGTGTGAACCAATCTCTAATAATAAAATTCCTCAGTCAGTGTAGCAAACAAGTGTTGAAAAAAAAGAGAGAGAGAAGAGAGAAAAGGAATATTCTGATATTAGTTCAGATCAGTACATTTTTCTCAAACAATTGTATTAACAAAGAGTGTCTTACCTCTTGGTTCAGTGCTGCCAAAAGCTCCAGAGAAGCAAGCAATACCAGGCCTAACTTCTTCCTCTGGCAGGCAGATGGCACCAATGTGCTGATCAAATTGTAGAGGTACAGCAAGTTGAACCAATGCTACGTCGTAATCTCGCAGGAAAGCCGAGCGGAACTTAGACGAATGAGGATGAATAACTATTCTTCGAATCTCTCTTTTCCGTTGGAATTCCTCCACTCCACCTCGTATCTTTTCAAGACTGGTGTAAACTATCCAATCAGAACCATTCTCTGGTGGCTGTCTAAGTACGAATGAACAACAGTGAGTAATTAAGCTATGAATACCTTCTTTCAGCACTATTAAAAAGTTGGAACTTGTTAAACAAAGCATGCAGCTTTGGATCAAGTGTGATAACCATACTGATAATGTTAACATGTCAATAAACATTCTGTATTCAATTATTACTTGCAACAGTATTTTGATGACATAAATAATATATATATATAATAAATATAAATAATATATAGTAATACATGTAAACATTGCATTGTTACAAAGAATTAATACTTTTTATTATTAAAAAAAATTGATTGTCATATGCAGTCTTTTTATTTTAAATTTATGAAAAGTAGTAAAGTCTATTCATATTCTTTTTTACACTGAAAGAGTTATAAGTTTTATTGGACAGGAATATTTATTTATATATATACTTAAAACTTATACTTTGTGTTTGAAAAGAGATGATCAGCTTGTCTACACATTTTGTTGTTGTTGCAAGATTTCTTTACAAAAGCACAGTAAATTTAAAAATATTTCTAAAAGATCCTATACAAAAAATGAAATAACTTACTGAACACAATCTGCCGACGTCACTAACCATACAGGTGAAATGATTTCTGCATGACAAGTCTTCCCAGTGTATATGTTTTGTACCATGGCTAGGGATGGCCATTGTTCGGGCAGCGACGGCTGGCCGTCAACTACACGCTTTTTCCGATACAAAGGACCAGGGAGAGCCGAACAGTCTGAGCAAATCGGAAAAATTATTACACATCACATCCTTACACAAACATGGGGGGAGGAATAGTTGTTACTAATAAGTTTATCTACATTAACTGGAATAATGGGGAAGCATGTGCCCTATGTGTTAGGTGCCTATGGACTGGGGAATTTAATGACTAAAGAGCAAACAGAAAAGTACAAAGTTTAAATGGAACTTGAAAGTCAAAAAGAAAACTCGATTACAACTGAAACAACATTATTCACACACACAAGGAGAAAACTCGATTACAACTGAAACAACATTATTACACACACAAGGAGAAAACTCGATTACAACTGAAACAACATTATTCACACACACACACGGAGAAAACTCGATTACAACTGAAACATTATTCAACACACACACAAGGAGAAAACTCGATTACAACTGAAACAACATTATTCACACACACAAGGAGAAAACTCGATTACAACTGAAACAACATTATTCACACACACACACAAATTATAGAATTTTGTGAATTCAACAAACATGCATTTATCCGAAAATTAAAAAATAATTTGTATCAAATAAATTAGAAATAAGATCATACTGAGCTAGAAATGCAATAACACCAGTCACATACATCAAATCTGGTAGGTATTTAATTAAACGAACTATAAATGTAACAACAATGCTAAGAAGGTAAATCTACATGTTAATTAACTAAATTAATAGTCTAAAAATACAAATAGTCATATACATCAAATCTGGTAGGTATTTAATTAAACGAACTATAAATGTAACAACAATGCTAAGAAGGTAAATCTACATGTTAATTAACTAAATTAATTGTCTAAACACACAAATACAGTCATATACATTAAATCTGTAGACTAATTAGACTATAAATTTAAAAATATTTACATACACTATACTGCAGTATAATTAATTAAATGAGCTAAAAATGGAATACTAACATTTATATTAATAATTAATGAAGCAAATTAATTATACATCAAGTATACAACATATAAACAAAAAATAAAGAAAATTATCATACAAGAAAGTAGGGAAAAACTAGTAAATGTCAAATACTTAAAAGTAATGAATAAACAGAGTATACTTCGTAAATTTTGTATATCTTTTATATAATATGCATATTTTCTTTGATAACAATAATTAAACCTCCCAATTAGAACTGGAACTACCAATGTACAGTCCACCCACTCATATTCTACTGTTTACTGCATATTGACAAGAGAGATTGTTGGAAATTTGAAAGCTTGTAAATTAATCAACAGACTCACATACTTAAAATAATTATAACAATATGTCCTGCTTATTAGTCTTTAATAAGAAATGGTACAAACTTAAGGCTGTGTATTTAGGAATACATACTGAAACGAAGACAGTTGACAACAGCAGTCCTATTGCCTTCACAGGTAGGGTTAAATTTTAATCCATACGTCCAGAGAGTATGATTAGAGTTTTCGTGGAAAGCCCATGTTGTATTGTTTGTAATCACGAGCCTTGTATCCACCATTTTAGCAACACTAGAGGGGGGGAAAAAAGAGGAAGAAGATATGATTATAGCAATTTTATGAAAGAACTAAACTTAAGCCACGGTCACACTAAGTTCAGATGCTAATATATCTGACAAAGATATATTCAAACAACACCTAGTTTCCTAGTCATTCAGAAAAGTTAACATTTTTATTATGAAGTACAGTAGTACATAATTGTAGGGATCACAACGAAACAAAATAGCATCCATAAAAATTGACTGTTTAAAATCACCTTTGAAATGTCTATCTCACACTATTAGCTGAGCAAAACTAAACTTTATTGTACTTATAAAGCCACCTAAATTGTTGTATACGTGTTTATGAAGTGAATCAAAATTTCACTATTTCAACCAATTTTCATCTAAGTAAGTAAGTAAGTGACATTTTTCCAAGACGAGCGTACAGAAAAAAGAATGAACCTTATCGTTCTAATTCTTTCACAGAACTCTTTCATCTGGGGTCCCAATGATTCCTTTCTTGTACTAAAAACGGATACTGTATCTATATATCAAATAGATGATGTGCTACTGTGGTCATTTAATTAGACTCGGAGATAGGTTGGTAGAGACCCTCATGAGTAGTATACACAGTTCTCATGCTTGGTATTACTATTGCACAAACATATAGCTAATAAAAAGGAAACAAACAAGTATAATAAAAAAAATTTACATTTCATAAAGACAAGTAGAGATTGATACATATATAAGTAACCTAGCCAGCTATTGTAATACAGAAAGGTTTAATGCTTCAGAAAGTATTGAAACAAAAAAGTCAAAACTACAAAAACTGAGTCACTTATAAATTTTAAAAAAATTATTCCTAAATTGGCAAATCACTGTAATTATGATAGTCTGAGCCAAAATGAGGATCAAATTTTTTAATTTATAAGTAACTCAGTTTCTTGTAGTTTGCCTTTTTTTGTTTCAATACTTTCTGTAGCATTAAACCTTTCTGTATTAGTATAGCTAGCTAGGTTACGTATATATCAATCTCTACTCGTCTTTAAAAGAACATAAAATTTTTATTGTACTTCTATGTATGTGTACATATAACTATAGAGCAAGGTTTATGCATATAGTGAGATGTCAGTGCATCTTATAGATTAGCTTCACAATTCTAAAACAGTAATGGGGAAACATTGTTAATTCCATCAATCATTTTTAATTATATTGACCGTTTTGTTTATCCTGAATTACCTGAAACCCAGCTCTTGGCAGAGGTGATGACCATCTTGTAAAGTCCACTTTACACCACAAACCAATGCCCAGTCTTCAGCTATAGTATTATACACTTGGACAACTCCATTTGCATCAACTCGTACTGTGGGGAAGCAAAGAAATACGTTTTTGACAATATCATATTTTTCAATTAATTGTTATAAATTTTATATATCTATGGTGCTTATTGTCACAACAGACTTTTAAAATAAAACCTCACTGCCATATTTCTTATACCCACTCCTTTGAAGCTACAGAGATATTAGGAAAAGTAGAAAACAAAACATTAACCAGTTATAATTTGTTTTTTTTACATCTTACAAAGATGCTAGAAGTTTTGTAAAGAAGAGAAACAAGCTTACGCAAAAGTCTAAAGAATACTAAAACTCTTACAGTGTGTACAAATATGTCATAGAAGAACCTACAGGATGCTAGGACTTTTATAGTGTGTACAAATGTGTCATGTGTGAACCTACAGGATGCTAGGACTTTTATAGTGTGTACAAATATGTCATGGAAGAAACTACAGGATGCTAGGACTTTTATAGTGTGTACAAATATGTCATGGAAGAACCTACAGGATGCTAGGACTTTTATAGTGTGTACAAATATGTCATGGAAGAACCTACAGGGTGCTAGGACTTTTATACTGTGTACAAATATGTCATAGAAGAACCTACAGGATGCTAGGACTTTTATAGTGTGTACAAATATGTTATGGAAGAACCTACAGGATGCTAGGACTTTTATAGTGTGTACAAGTATGTCATGGAAGAATCTACAGGATGCTAGAACTTTTATAAAGTAAGAAAATGTGTCATGCAAGAACTAAATATCCTTAGAAGTAATCTCTTCCATAGTTCTGGACTGGTATTGAAATGTTTACATAGATTGTGGCTAATAGGTTAAAAAATAGTTTTCCGAATGCAGAATGTTTCCTTCTCCCATTTTAAACGAAGACAAAATACAGGTTAAAGAAAAACATTTATGATATACAAGTTAGTAATATGAAATTCTGAATGCTCACAACACTCAATTTCATCACTTCCATCGTTGCAGTCTTGATGCCCATCACATCTTGCAAAACCAGGAACACAGTAGCCATCCATGCAATGGAACTCATTGTTGGCACAGGCTGAAACCATATTAAAATATTTTATCACACTACTCTTGTTCACAAATATGTAAAAACATCTAATTTCACTACTGATTTTACGACAACCGAAGACAGAGTACTTTATATCATTATTACTGTTCTAACAATTAAATAATCTAGTTCCTATCTTTGCTGGTTACCTGACAGATAATAATAAGTTCTGGTTAAGAAGTTAGCACACAGGATCTCTGGCAAAATTGTAATGTTTTGAAACGAGACTCAAAACTCGAGCTCTTTTGAATAGTTGACTGTTCTTCTCCAGGAGAATAAAGGGTTATGTTTAATGAGTGTAATGAAATATATAGGATCGGATGTCGACGTCACGTAAACCGGATGCTCAACATTAGTTGACCTTGAGAACTTGCCGATCATAGTGCAGAGTTGTTTGTGTCAGGTTAGAGTTGTATAAGGTACATAATAGACTTAAGTGGGATAATTAAACTCACTTTCCATTATTAGTAGTATTGTTCTTGCTTAAATTTCTCTATATTGGTATGATTTCCTATATATTGCATCGCATTATTATTTTCTCCATTTCCCACCACTTTTTGCCATTATTTTATTTGTATTTTATCTTTATAGAGTTGGTTAACAATTCTTATAACTGTTATCTCGCTTAAGTCTTTTATGTACATTACACACCTCTTTGGCACAAACTAAACCTGACACAAACAACTCAAGGTTATGACTGGCTAATTCTCAAGGTCAACTCATATTGAATATCCGGTTTATGTGACATCGACATCCGAGCCTATATATCTCATTACACTCATTAAACATAACCCTTTCTTTTCCTGAAGAAGAACAGTCAACTATTCGAAAACAGATAATAATAAGTTTAGTTTATATCACTGTTCATTCTATAAAAAGATGTTTTATTTAATACTAGTCCAATCATAAGTAAAACTAATGTAACTTGGAGTACTAGTATTTCTATTCATTGTTGGTTAGTCTGTTAAGCTTGTTCTCTGACAAGAAAAAATCTAACATTTTTGGTTCATTGACAGAATATTATAGCCCATAAGACCTTGACTCGTAAACACCAAACACAAACGTATCAATGCTGCCCGTTCTCTTACCAAGAACAATTGTTAATTCATCACAGACATGTTATTTCATATCAGTGCTAATACAGCAAAATGTAAAAACCCATACATTCAGTGTTGATGATTGACTTAAACCTAACAATTACAACTTTTGTAATGCACTTGAAAATAATCAACAAAAACTTAAAATAACACAAACTACAAAAACATGACTTGATATATACAATCCTGAAGAACAACACTTACTACAGTTGGCTTCATCCTCTCCATTTTTACAATCATGACTTCCATCACACTTTAAAGACGATGGGATACACAATCCATCAGAACAGAAAAATCTTCCCCTCTGGTCACATGTTGTCCGATCAACTTGAAATGACAATTCCCAAATGTTTATTGAAAATGTACTAATGTTAAAACCTACAAAAACTAAATAATGCTTAATTGCTCAAAGAATTAAAAATACAGTAAGATATGTGATGGTTTTAAGTAATTTCTATTAGACAGAGAGAGGCTGTGGGCTGAATAGTTTAAAAGGTCCTCACAGTTTTTGACTTTGTCCTCCAACTTAAGTTAGATGTAAGTATGTCTAAGTTCCAACTCAAAGTATCAAGACACAAGGTAGTGTGTTGTGCAGCCAAAACAACCTGTAGGACTCATTGTGTTATTATCAAGAGTGATAGTTTAGCAATATTCTACTTTCTATATCTCAGACTGTGGTAATCCAAACTATCATATATTTACAGTGGATGTGCTCTACTGGACTTTTACTTCACATACCAAATTTCAAGGCAATCCATTAAGAAATACATGAGAAATAACATCTCCAATTTTGATTGAAGTTCTTACAATTTTTTTCTTTTTTGCACCAAATGTACAGAAACTTTATTCAATAGAAAAACATACTCAACTTTTATGGATTTTTTTTTAAATTTGGTACAACACCATAGATCTTTACAACCTACAATTAGGTGTTAAACATTGGCTGAGTAAATATAATCATAAGCCACGTGTACAAAGTTATTCAACAAAAACTCACCATAATCATGCCCCAAGTTGAACAAAAAACGTGACCTGGGTAACTAATGAATGAATATTTGCTGTAAAATTGTTATTCATGTTATAAGTGTAGCTACCAGTTTGGCCGCACTATTTTTTTCACACCTAAGGCTAAGGTATTTTTCATTACATAAGCTTAGCTCTACAAAATAGTACAATACAGTACAGAACAAATAAAAAAACAGTAGTGAAGTTAATTAACATTAAAAAAAAGAACATAAAAACGTGATACATTTTGTAGCTTTGGCTGCTAGGGTGAGACATACATAATGTTTTTGATTAAATATCTAGTCCTAGCATCAGTACATTTTCTAAATAATTTCTTACCACATCCAACTTCATCACTTCTGTCATGACAGTTGTAATTGCCGTCACAGATATCCAGGGGTTTGATACACGTGCTGCCATCTAGGCACATAACTTCATGTTGTCCACATTCGTTTGGAACTATACAAAATAAACATTCTAATATTATTTTATCCGAGATTATTGAACCACGTTCAAGTAATTCTGTTATCAGTATAATTATATTATGATCCTAACTGTAATGAAAAATTAAAAAGTTTATTTGATGTTTTATTATTAGCGATAGTAGATATTTAATATACACATATATATATATAGTTATTTATTTATATCTTTTGTTATTTAATTTCTGTATTATAGTGCTTATTGGTATATAGAAGAAATTAATATTAGAAATAAACGACCTTATAACACTAAAATGTTGTTTATTTAATTACACACTCAACGTTTAGCGGATGTGAGGGACGTTTTGCAAAGAAATAGGAATCATCAAGCCAAGATCATCTTAAATACCGAAGAACAACTAGTCCTTAAAAAGCTTAAAAAAAAGATAACATCATCATCATCAAAGAATCGGACAAATGTAAAGGTTTTGTATATATGAGCAGAAACATTTACAGACAAAACATTTTGATCACCTTAAAGATGAGAATAAATGTTAAATACTTAACAGTGACATCACCAAAATAATTGAGACGAAAGCTGAACAGATTATTTATGAACTTACAAAAACAAGTAACCTCCCTAAGAAGCCACTGGATGAACTTAAACCTTCTAATAGCTGCATTCCAGAATTATTCGGTTTACCAAAGGAACATAAACCGGATATGCTACTAAGACCCATAGTCTCAGCATATGGCAGTGCCACTGAAAGCCTGTTCTAGCTTATGCATACAATTTTGGTGCCGTTACTGATTTACGTTCCAGCACACTTAAATAATACACAAGACCTGCTATCGCGAATCAAGGATGTACCTCACTTAGTGACCAACACAGTAATACTCTCTACTCGTAGCTCTCTACCCGTCTATACAAACCGAGGATGTCGTCAATGCAGTGTGTGAATTAATGTCGAATCACATTAACAGTTTGGAGATATACGGACTGAAAATAGACACTGGATATTTTCGTTTTGACAACAAACTATATCTCCAACTCAATGGGTAATAGAGTCGCTGTTATTTATGCACGTTTTTGAAACGACGGCACTTGACAAGTAGCGTCAAGATACTAATACCGGCCCTGATCTCTGGCTTAAATACATCGATGACGTGTTTGGACTATAGAACCACGGTCTTCCTTCTTTAATCTAATTTTTAAACTTTCTAAGTTCCATAGATCCCAACACCCAATTCACTCTGAATCATTCAAATGACAAGAGGAACATAGATTTTCTTGACGTTACCTTAAGGATTGACAATGACAATAATATACAATCTACCTTGTTCCATAAACCAATAAGAAAACGTCTCTTCCTTAACTTTAACTCCCATCATTCCAAAGCTTCCAATTATTGGAAAATTAAATAGAATCGATCGAAACTGTAGTGAAAAAATAATCTGAACTTAAATCACTTCTTCTGAGCAACGAATATCCATCTTTTTGCATCGAACAAATTTTCAAGGGCTATGACGCGAAAAATCAGCATCGCAGTTCCAACTTGAGAAAACACAGATAAACAAGGAGGAAAAGAAAACGATTTTCCAAAGATAACACAAACAAGGTTATTTTATAACACCTCTAATTGACGATGCTATCTTCAAGAAAATGAAAACTATAATCAGGAAAACTGAACTGCCGATTAAAGTTATAGAACCACCAGGTCCAGCCCTAAAAAGCCAATTTTCAAAATCTCAGTACACTGCCCTACAATGTAATAAAACCAACTGTTTTATAAAACGTGTTTGCAATCTAAAGATGAGTGTCTTGTCTCTAATGTTGTTTACCAGCTTACATGTAACATCTGCCATCATACACACAAGGATAGGAGAACATACTGACTCTCTTTATAAACAACTACGTGAAAGTAGCGCAGTTGCAGATCATTTTTAACGAATCATGGATAAGTAACAACTGACTTGAAACCACCACTCCATAAAAATCCTCACCAAAGCCACCAAGTACACTGATGAAAAATTCAAAGAAGCTCTTCTTATCGAACAACGACGACCACAGATGAATAAGGAGAAAGGATGGCGCCTATAATTTTAATTATTTGATTTTATTTTTTAGCCTATGTTTTTGTTATTTCACTCTGTAACCTTGATAGAACTTTTGTTTACTACAGGTAGCAGTTAATTATTTCAAAGATAAGCTTTACTACTTAATATGTCAAAACACGCCGTACAAATGCACGTTATAGATTCAATATAATTTATTATTTATCCATTTATAGCTTTGTACTGTCAGTTTCGGTTTATGTTTTAGTGAACGCTCCCGAAAAACTTTAAAGCGAAAGTTGAGTGTTTAATTAAATGAAACAACATTTCGGTGTTATATGGTCGTTTATTTCTAGTTTTATTTTATCCTTTGTTTTTTGTTGTTTTTTTTCAAGAAACTGTTTTTGATACAGGCACTCATTTAAAAGCATTTTGTTGATTAGATTCGAAATAGTTAGAAGGTAAAAAAAAACATTATGGAAATTTTAAAGGTTACAAATAAATATAATAGTAGTGAGACTAACTTCAGAAACTCTAAATATTTGTTTTATTTGAAGGTTTGGCTAAGCTGATACTTACCACAATCAGTCTCATCGGTGCCATTGACACAGTCCCAAATACCATCACACTGAGCGATTTTACTAATGCAGGTGAAATTGTCACAACGGAAATTGGACCCACAGCTGTCCTCACCTAATGACCAAACAATTAATAATGTTAACATTTTACGTAAAGAGGCAATATACAATATATTCTTGAGTTTTATTTATAAATACTGCGATATCTATATATAAAACTCAAAATCTCTCTGTTTGCTTGTTTCTCCGCCGCGTTTATTGCGCAGGTCACATTTCTCTCACGTGAAAGTGCACAAAACGACAATTTTTCGTTGGTATACGCGTCTATCGTCTGCTACCGAATCGGTAATTTTATCGTTAACATATACTTTACTCGAATAAATTCTACGCAGACTTGACATTTTTTGGTAAGTTTTAGTTAACGTTTAATTTAGAATATAGCATTATAGGCTTATTTAGGTATAGATCATTAACTGTACATCTACTAATACATCATATATTTAACGTCTCACACACAAAAATGTATGCAGAATTAGAATGTCGTGTATGAAAAAGCAAAAGCTAGGCCTAGACTGTAGAACAAAATTATGCCGTCTGCCATAAAATAGAATACGTGAAAAGAGTAAGGTATAAATCATAATACTTATTGCGTACAATGAGATTAAAGTCAAGTCAGCATAAGTGGTAGAGCACCTACATGAGGTGGAAGATGGGTTGAACCTGGAAATTGTATTTTTAGTAGCATTACAATAGATAGGTCTATTTAGTATAGATTATTAATTGTACATCTACTAATACATCATATATCTAACCTCACACACAAAAGAAGTGTACGCAGAATTAGAATGTTGTGTGTGAAAAAAGCAAACAGTAGGCCTAGCCTATAAAATGAAATTATGCTGTATACCATAAAATAGACTGCGTGAAAAGAGTAAGGCTTACATTATAATACTTATTGTGTAAAATGAGATTAAAGTCAAGTCAGCGAATGTAATTTATTCTACTTTTTTTTCTCCTGGTGGTTCGATACCTGAAAGTGGAATTTTTTCTTTTTATATATTATAAAGTACAATGTTACATATTGTTTGTAGTATATTTCATATATCAATGTGAATACGGTATCAATATTTATAAAAAATATATTAAATTTACCTTAAACAAATTGAATATTAATATTGCATATATATATTTACGTTTGAAATGTT